ACAACTAAAATCACGAACAAGGCTAAATAATAATTACTCAACCATAAACAAGCAATAAATCAAACACCCATTAAGTTTACACTCTAGGGTTGGATTACAACCCTAGTGAAAATCTAGCTACTCATGCTTAAGACGAAAGAAATAGAAGAAGAAATGATAATTAAACTCATATTGATAATTAAAATAAAGAAATCTATGTTTAAAAAGCTCAAAATGGCAAAAACTACTAAAGAGAGTAAAGAAAAACGGCTATTGTAGCTACTAATGTCAAAAACTTGACCTAAAAAGTGAAACTTTTCTATTTATATAAAGTTGGAATTTTCGGACAAAAATGCCCCTTCGAAGGTTTTACGGCCGCACAATTCCATGTGCGATCCGCACTTTGCTTCAACCTGACAGGATTGGAATCTTGCGGCCGCACAATTCTGAATCGCGGCCGCATCTCTCTCTTTCTGCGGTCCGCACATTTCTGAGTGCGGCCACACATGGCTTTTTTGCGGACCGCACAAATACAACTGCGGCCGCATAGTTGATCTTCTGCGGCCGCACAATAATTGTGCGGTCCGTACTTCCGTTGAACTTGATATGTAGGTTCTCTGAACTTTTACTCTTGCCTAGCTTCTGCAGCCGCACATTTCATGTGCAGACCGCACTTCTCACAGATCTCTGATAAGTTCTTCTGCACAATTTGCGGCCGCAGATGATGTTCTGCGGTCCACACTTTAAGCTTTTGTGTCTGTTTTTGTCCTTGAGTTCATATCACTCTTTCTTGAGTTGGATTTCATCTTGGAGGCTCATTTTCCAATATTCCTGCAACTAAGCATATGTCATCAGTTTTCGAAAATACAATTAAACTTTTTGGACTAAAACGAAAGCTAAAAGGTGCTAATAAGTAGTCAAAATCCCCATTTATCAATACGTTCTAGAAATGTAGGGGATTCCATCCTAACTTTAATAGTTGATGGTCCAATAATCAATTTGCCTTGAGAACATGCAGCACAAGAGAATTCCTTAAATTGAAGAATCTTTTGGTTCTTCATTGAATGTCCATGTGAATTCTGAATTATTTTACGCATCATAGTAGAACTAGGATGACCCAACCGGTCATGCCAAATAATAAAATTATCTTGATTAGTAAACTTCTCATTTACAGGGCATGTGTTTCAATCCTGCTAATACTTGTGTAATATAAGCCGGAGAAAATAACGGATAACATTTCAAACACATATTTCTTACCTGACTTTATTGTAGTAATATAAAGATATTCAATCTTTTCATTATTTGTAGTCTCAATGTGATATCAATTTTGGCGAATATCTTTGAAACATAGTAAGTTTCTTTGAAACTTACTACAATATAATACTTCATTAATAGCCAAATTTGTTCCTCCGGGTAGTAATAAATTTGCTCTTCCTGAGCCTTCAATTAATTTTGTACTGCCAGATATTGTATTAACATGGGCTTCTTTTCTCGTATCTCTTAAAATAGTATGGGTTGTAGCACTATCCAAAAGACATATATCATCTTTATTGATCTTGGATCTAACTGAAGATTGAAAAATTTCTATATTCTTCATAAATAAACAAAAAGTACATCATAAGAAATACGAAAGACTATAAATAAAAGAAACATTAGAAATTACACGAGGAATGTAGAAACTAGCATATATGATGCTTTAGGAAAGTACACTAAGAAGAACAAACTACATAAAGACATAATATGAAAATAGCAACTTTTCTTAAAGCTTTATTCCCCAGTAAGATAATCACTTCTTCAGTCAATATCCTCAAAGAAGTCTTCACCTTCTTAAATGAGTAATATTTGCAAGGCTTCCAAAATTATCATCTTTATATGTAGGATTTGCCTCAACATCATCATATTTGTTTGAGGGACCTGCTTTATCATCATTATTTTGAAAAGTCAAGTGTGCCTCCACATTATTATCTTTTCTTTTATTGGATGCTTGATAAAGTTTGACAAAATGGTCAGGTATACGACAAACACGTGCCCAATGACCTTTCATACCACACCTGTGCCAAATATTAACTCTACCTTTTAAAGGATTATTTTGAGGATCCTTATTGTTCTCTTGTTTATTTTCACCATGATGACGATAATTATTTCGTCCCCTTCCACGGCCACGGCCATGTCCACGTCCACGACTATGGCCACGGCTATGACAACAATAATATTTTTTTTTCTTTCAGACTTTTGAGTAGCTGCTACCATATTCACTCCGAAAAATGGTGCAAATCCAGTGGGACGTGCTTCATGATTTTTCATTAAAAGAGTATTATGTTGCTCATCCACCAGGAGGCATGAGACTAATTCAAAATATTTCTTTAAACCCTTTTCACGGTATTGTTGCTGCAATACCATATTTGAGGCATGAAAAGTAGAAAGAGTCTTTTCCAGTAAATCCTCATCATTCACAATTTTCTCACAAAATTTAATTTGGGAAGTTATCCTGAATATAACAGAATTATATTCACTTACAGTTTTAAAATCTTGTAACCGTAAGTGAAATCCATTCATATCGAGCTCTTGGCAATATCGTTGCCTTAAGATGGTCATATCGTTCCTTCAAACTGCTCCATAATTCAAATGGATCTTTTAAGGTTAAGTATTCAGTCTTTAACCCTTTGTCGAGATGATGACGAAGGAAAATCATAGCCTTTGCTTTATTCTGGCCCGATGCTTCATTTCCTTGTATAATAGTATTTTCAAGAGCTTTTGCAGCAAGGTGAATTTTAGCATCAAGGACCCATGATAAATAATTCTTTCCGGAGATGTCAAGTGCCACAAATTCGAGCTTTGATAAATTTGACATAGTGAAAACTATCATAAAAGATGAATAAGTTAGAGAAATAATTATGTTTATAAACAATTAATGAAACAAAACAATTAAGGAAAAAAGAAACAGAAATGCAGCTATATCATGTAAACAAGCTACTATATATGTGTTAATATATTTGAACGTTACTAATATTATTTATATGTTCCAATTCAATAATTATAGAATTTCTTGCATATAACTTTCCTGATTACTGTTTTGTTGATTCAAGAAGTCCGTGAATATTATAAGTAGTTTCATTAGTGTGTAGCTAGTAGACTTTGAGGTCATCTAATAGTTATTTTATCATTGCAGTGTACTTAAATTATTTAAGATGTCCAAGAGCATAAGTAATCATATGATATGTATTGTCATAAACAAAATGAATATAATGACACATACCTTAGTAAAATATGACTCAACTTAGCGGGGATAAAGATGAAATTAGAGTTTCGTGTTATTAACGTGTTATAAAATAAAAATAATGTAGCAAAATAAAGTAACAAGAATAGAAATTATATAAGGGATGAGAGAACTATTTTCTTTCTTTATCTTATGTGTGCAATTTTTCCATAAGAATACAAAGTTATTTATAAGTCTAAAAAGTGATCTAAGCAAAAAGCAAGGGAAATGGGTCACCATAGCAAGCATCCACTATCATAAATTATTCACAACAATAACTATTTTGTGAGGTCAATTTCCACTATCACAAGATAGAATCACTCTATCCATTGAGACTTAGTCACTAGAAAAGTTAAATAAGAAGAAAATAACCAAAGCAATCATGGCGAGTCCCCATTCATTTCCTTCTGCCATGGAAAACATCACTTGAAAAGCAAAGAAGACCAAAATAAGGAACAACAATCCCCATTTCCTAAACTCATCCGATAAGCTCGGCTCGGATGGTAATTGTAACTTTGAAGAGAAGGTGCATAAATACTTGCCATACATAGTAAAAGAGGACCAAGAAGGATTTTGAAGACACTGTAAGTTAGTAGAATAACAGCAAGAGATACTATTATTGATTTAGTAGTAGAGTATACAAAGAAAATGGCTAGAAGAGGGACAAAAAAATAAAAAGTAACGTTTATATTTTCTGTATCAAAGGCTAATCAGAATCTCTCAGTTATGTTTTGGCCATGGAGGAGTAATCCTAAACTGAGTACAAGAAGAAGATGGACTAATGGAGAAGGCCCTTTAACCATATTAAGGAAAATGGCTGTTTTGGCAGTGTCATATATAAGTTACTTCTTTTTGTGATAAAAAAACAGAAATGGACTTGAGTGTATAATTCAAGAACTGGATTAAAGTAATGGGGTTGGAGTACGGTGGTTATGAATGCAAAGGGTAATAGGCTTTTATTAATTTAGTTGCTTAACTTTTTGGTTCTGTTCACCAACTTGACTTGTTTGGTATTGCTACTTTCACCTAGGTTTACGACTTTATTAACAAACGCTTGCATATACGATAAAGGAAAATATAAATAACGTATGTTATTAACAGAAAGACATGACCTTGGACTTTGTTAACTGCGTAAGCAACTAGATCTACATTTCCACCTGAATTCTGCTTATTTTTCTGGTTTTTGATTTGAATCATTGTGAGAAGAATGAACGGTAACAAGAATGGTTCGATGAAGAGACTTGTTTGAAAAGAATAAGTAGGAACACTGAATGGCCCATTTACGGATCTTCTTTTGATTACACTCTTTGACCCGCTTTATGTTAGATGATTCCAACTCTAATTTTCGATGAACATAGAATCTCCAAGTCTCCAAAGAAAAACTCGTTTAAGTCTCCAAAGAGTAATTGCGTGGCACAAAGGAAGTATTTTATATATTACATAGGAAATCGATAAATAGAATACATATTTTTCACAGGGGCTTTAATTCTAATACAATAACATATCCAGTATTATCCTACATCGTGGGGTCTGGGGAGGGTAGTGTGTACGCAAACCTTATCTCTACCTTGTGAGGATAGAGAGTTCTAATAAAAAAAACTGAAATCTTCTTTTGCGGAAAAGGGAGTCAAATATTTATTCCACTTAATCAATTAATGCGATAACATTCTTCACTTCAAGGCTTGCTTCAACAGCATCAAGAGTAATTTCTTTTTTCCAGAGATCCCCCCCTATCCAGAAGGGTAAGGGAGTAACAAGAAAAAAGTAGAAACTAATAGTTTGGTTCCCTTTCCAGGACCAGAAGTAGCTTCAATAGCATCAAGATTGGAATTTTCGCAAAGTAGGAATTGTCATTATGACATTTACGTAGCTAGTGAAATTGTCAACTGTAGCGAGAGGCTTGCATTACTGTAATTATTTGGTCCACACACCGAAACTAATGACATTCCGCGATTATATACAGGTCTTCCCCCGACTAGCAAGGTTATTTAGGAAAACTCTATTTAGTCATGTTTAGTTGGATCATTGAGGAAGGTGAGGATGACGTCGAGTCAATTTTTATAGTCTTTATTCCATCCACATAGCTTGCGAAAATGTCAACTGTTCTTCAGGCTTCAGAAAATGCAGAATGAGCACATTGAACTACTCGGTCATGTGGCTCACAAATTCTAAATGCAGATGAGAGTTTTAGGCTATTTTTTGCACTTCGTACTCGTGAGATATTTTAAGAGGCGATTCCTTTGAGACGGGCCTCTCTTCAGACCAGAGCTCTAAATTCACTGTTCCCGTACCCCAATGCACCATACATTTGTATGCTTGATCAATCTTGAACCGATTGACTAGCCCCAGACCAAGACATCTATTAACAAGCATCCATTCACCTGAAAAAGAATTCACAAGTAAAAGACATCAACATGGACACCGAACAGATTACCACCATGGCAGCACCCAAGGGTGTGGCCTAGCGGTCAGTAAAGTGGGTGAAAACCATGGGAGACCATTGGTTCTATCACAGCAGAGACAAAAATCCCTAGGTGATTCCTACTCATCTACCTAAGCTTTAGTGATCAGAGTTTCCCATTATCTGTGCTGGTGGGAGATAGCATATATCGGATGGAAGTCAAGGTGCTTGCGAGCTGAAATAGAAATTGGGCTAAGTAGGTGAACGTGCAAATAGATGATCCAAGAAAGCAACTCATATCGAACATCACAGCTAAAATCCTTTACTCAAATTGGTATTTTCAGCATATATTCTGAGAACGGATGTGAGTCTTTTCAAATATTTGCAGGCGATCCGTAAACATTTTCTTTTCCTATTTGATAAATGACATTCCATTAAGCTTTTAGTGCCTACTACTCAAGGTGTCTGAATAAACCAGGGTAATGTATTTCCGTGTCCCTTCTAATATATTCCTCTAGCTCTCACCTGAAGTTTAAATAGATGAAACTGATAACGAGGGAACCAGACCAAATTGGGAGAATGTTCCTAGTTCCCAAAACAGGGAATTATAACAAGTTGCTTACTGGAACATTAACCAGTAACTTGCACAACTTGTGCACTTCCCTTCATTTGGAATCTTGAAAACAGTTAGCTCCCAATTTGTCTTTTCTAATCTTCCAGTCCCTGCCTTACTACTATTCCCCTAAGAAGCAATGCCTGGTGAATTTACTAGGCTTACTAAGGTATCTACTGATACAAAAACAGGTCCAGTCTCGTGGAAATTTACATATACTGACATGCATACATCACAACCTAGTTCTGGCAGTTCGCTATTATCTACTTTTACTTCCTGCTGTGCTTTTAAAAGATGGTACGGTCTGCGCAGAAAATGTATCCTCTAGTCAGGCAACACCAGTTTTTTTAGAGAAATATAAACACCACAAATATGTGTGTAAGATCTATGTGAGTGTAATAAAAATAAAAAATAAAAACATCTGCACAGGAGAGCAAAAGATCAAGGGTAAAACGCACCCTTTGGGCGAAGATCTCCTTCAAACACTTGTTCTCCAGATTCTGGCCAAAGTTCATGCTTGGACCCATTGATGGAGGTAAAGGACACATATGATTCCGTTGGGTGCAACAACGAGAACATTGGATGCACACGCAAGCACACAAGCCTACCAAAGCAAAAAAAGTAAGAGAAGAGGGAATGGATTAAACTGAGGCTCTACACCATATAAAGGAGAGAGAGAGAGAGCACCTTCCAATCAGCTATTATAAACATGACTATCCAGAAATAAGAAAATTGAACGACAAAATAATTATTTTTGGACAGAATGAATGTTAAAACCTCTTATATATGCAGCTTGTAACCAGGCTTTCTTGATGAGATGACATATTACACAGATGCGAAAAATGCACAACATGATAACAATGATATCCCAATACTGTATTAGTTGGCATGCTTAAATTGACCCTGTGGATGAAGGCTGGACATGCTTAAAATGATGTGGAGGAAGACTAGATAAAATTCGTGTATCTGCAGAAAAAAGCTTATGATGATTTGACATACCAAAAAAAAAAGGGGTCAAAAAGCTTCACCTGAGGCACAAAAAGTGTGATCTTGGTAGAATTGCATAATAAGTTTTTAGACAAGAGTATTTCGATGAAGGCACCGGCCGTGGGGGCATATGAAGCAATATGCAGCACAACCTGAACTTGGCAGGTTCTTATCAAGGCTAAAGCCTAAAGGGTTGAGATTTTATTTAACAGGCACAAAGTTAAAGGAGGCTGGAACCAGTATAGTTCAATCAGCTTGATAACGAAAACACTTTAATTTGCAATTCATTTTATACAAAAACTGAAATAAAGTAACAATCTTTTGCAAAGGTCATGATATATAACTATCAAACACGTTTATAAAGTATTATTGGAAGTTCAGGAAAATGATGAAGGTCACAACAAATTGAAAACAATCATAGAGAAACACATTACTTCACCAGCATTCAGAACAAGAGTAGTATCTACACATTCTATGTTTAATAAAATTCCATTACAAGGCAAAATAGATAAGTTGCACCCTGAACTTGTNAGTTTAAAGTTTACTGGTGTGAGGCACACGCATTCTGGTGAAGCCAAGTCATTAATGAATTCAAGACCATTAAAAGACCCGACCCATTCCCAAATATTTACCCCCCCAAAATTTCACACGTCACATTAGTATAGAGAAACTATCAAAAACTCAAAAGAAAAAAAAAAGATAAATGGAACTCGACTGAAACTACAACCAAAGAAGCCAAAATCCCATCATCAATAGCCATAAGGAGCAAATGAGTAACTCAGAAGCAAGCAAGAGAATTCTGAAACTGAAAGAGATGAAGGAACGGAATGGATGTTTTGAGACCTATGCAGTGTTTGGAATGAAAGCTGGAGTCAGCATGTAGTCAAAAAGTAAAGCAAAGTGTAAAAATAATGATAAATGCATATTTTAGGTTTCAACAATTGTAATTAGGGTGGCTTAACACAAAGATTCAGGTCCAAGGCAAAGAATCACTTAGAAAATTCACATCTCGAGCGAAAATTGGGGCTGATTTAAGATGAGGGAGAAAAACTTAGGGTTTTTGAGAGAGATGAAGAAGTGGGTTAGATAGAACATTAGGGTTCTTGAGAGAGACGAGGAAGAAGAGATGTTTTAAAATGTTTTTTTTTTCAATTTGTTTTATCCTTAAAATTTAGTGTAAAACGCGCCCAGAAATGATAGTTTACCAACGCACGTGCCTCAGGGCCATGAGGGGGG